GAGGGAGGGAGGGGGCCCCCCCGCAGGCTGAGAAAGGAAGAGGGGCCAGGGAGAGAGCACAGGAGCTATTTCTGATAAAACTGAGGACTATCGTATCATTTCCTTCTCCATCCACAAATATTTATCAAGGGCCTACTAAGTGCAGGACAGTGCCAGGCTCTGGGGAGATCGCGGTGAACAGAATGAGTAAAACGCTATTCCTGGGGCTCACTGGGGGAAAGTGGACTGGAAAACAAGTAAGTGACTAAAATAATTACAAACTTAAAAGGAGCTAAACGTCAGGGTGGTCATAGAGGGCTCCGAAGACAATCCAATCCAATCCACTCAGTTCACAGCTGGGGAAACTAAGGTCCAGAGAGGGTGAGGGCTTACCTGAGGCTCCTCAGAGTGGGCAAGAAATCACTAAGACCAGAATTGGGGGAATGGAAGGGGAGGGAAGAAAGAAAGAAATAGTGTAGATGGGGGTGGGGATGGGAGGGGTGCAGACAGCACAGCAGGATAGCATATGGTTGAGGTTATGGGCCCTGAACCAGGGGGTCTGTGTTCAAACCCTGCTCCCCTCCACCTCTGTGTGCCTTAGTTTCCCTGTCTATAAAATAGGAGTCATGACAATTCTCTCCCTCAGGGTTGATGTGAGGATTAAATGACTTATGATGTGTAAAGTACTTAAAACAATTCCTACATCTAGGAAGATTCACTAAATGTTGGTTCCTGCTATTATATAGTAAAACCTTGGGGAAACCAGGGTTTGTTAAGGGCAGGATATCTTAAGGCTGTGAAGATTTGCTTGAAGTCTTTGCCCTGCTATGACACTGGAGAACTTTAGGAAAATGTCTTCCCCTCTTGAGCCTCAGTTTCCCCATATGTAAAATAAAGGGATTGAATCTGAACTTATATATTCATGCACTCATGTTTACTGTCTGCCTCCCCCACAGGAATGAAAGCTCCATGAGGGCAAGGCCCTCAATGCTGCTCTCTCCTGAGCACCTACAACAGTGCCTGGCTCATAATAGGTAATCAGTAAATATTTGTTGAATGGATTAATTAGCCCATCTGTAAAGTGGCCCTTCCAATCCTGAGCTCTCTGATTCTAGGAGTCTGAATAAGGCATGGCCGGGAAAGCATGTGAGAAAACCACAATATCCTCCCAGGGACACAGCCAATTATAGTTTAGAAAGTTCTTTCTCATCTATAAAAACAAACCAAAAACACAAAAGCTAACTTTGTTTTAGCTCTTTCTGTGTGCTAGGCCCCATGCTACATGCTTGCTACACATTTTCTCATCTCATCATCGCCACAACCATCTACTTAGTAGATACCATTTAACAGATGAGCATATAGAGGCCAAGAGAACCCAAGAAATGTGTCCAAGACAGCACAGCAAGAAAGGGTAGTCAGGATTTACTCTCAGATCAGGGAGAAACTGCTATCTTCATTGTACAATGGGGGAAACTGAGGCGCAGAGCAAGGAGATGAATTGCCCAAGGTCATGTAATAATAACAACAGCAAATAGTTACATCATTCTTACTATGTATCAGGTGCTGTACTAAGCGCTTTTCATATATTAAATCTTCAAACCTGATCAATATTATGACCATGCCAGTTTTCAGATGAAGAAACTATAGCATAGAGAGGTTCAATACCCTGCCAAGATTGCAGTTAGCCAATGGCAGAGCCAAGATTTGTACCAGAGAAATTAAGTCCCGTGCTGTTAAGGGCTCATCTCTGTTGCACCGCCTTTCAGTACAGCAAGTCTGGAGCAGCCTGGTATAAAAAGGGAGATGTCCTTTGCCCAGCACCCTGCTGCCTGGGCTGGGGGCAGGGTGGAAAACAAAAGCACACTGAGAGTATCCTCAGCTGACAGCTGGGACTTTCCACCTTGAAGGGAGGGTAGTGTTATGGAAAAAATGATAAAGCTCTGGAAAGATGAACGTCTCCCAGGGGCCCCAAGTTTCCTCAGAGTCTCCCGCCCCCCTTGCTCTGGGGGAGTGCCACAAACTGTGCCGGCCTGATCCAGATGAGATGAAGGCCACCTGGATCCTGACACACCCCGGCCGGGCTGCTCGAATACTGAGGATCACTGGCCTTGATGGAAAGTTCCAATTTCTCAGCCGCGGACACAAAGCTGCCACTCGGGGACCCCCAAGGAATCAGGTTCAGGCTGAGATTCCCTTGGACGTGGGAAATTCATGTCTCATGGGGCAGCTCAATCATTCAGCAAACTTTGACAAGGAAGGTAAGGAGGGTAGAGAGGGTCATAGCTGGCTGTTTATAAAGATTATGAATCTCTCAGCTCTGCCATGAGCGCATGACCTTAGGCAAATGAAAATACACAGAGCGAAGGGGTTAAGGTAGAATTCTCTGATGGTCTCTTTCTCAATAATATTTGACTACTCTAGTTCAACAGCTTGAAAAAATATACAAGTTCAGTTTCAATTTCAGCAGTGTTCCCTTCTGTTCAGTTCAGGGTTCAGTTAAAAATAATACTAATGATGGAATGGGAGCTCTGGGTTCAGCAGTGTGTGCAGTTTTCCCCAGTTCCATCTGGTTCAAGTTCAAGGCTGGAAGAGATGGCTGTTCCAGTTACTGTGCTGCCAAACAAACCACCCCACAGCTCAGTGGCATAAAAACAATCATTTTATTATACTTATATACTTTGTGAGTCAGGAATCTGGGCAGGGCAAAGTGTGTACAGCTTCTCTCTGGGGCCTCAGCTGGGCAACTCAGAGACTGGAGTGACTAGAATTGTCTCACAGGTCTGGTGCCATCACATGTCTGAGGTTGATACTGGCAATAGGCTGGAATGTCACCTACACATGGGTGGCCTGGTATATTTGTTTCCTATGGCTGCTGTAACAAATTACCATAAACTTAGTGGCTTAAAACAGCACACATTTATCATTTTACAGTTCTGTAGAATGAAGTCCAACATGGGTCTCGCTGGGCTAAAAGCAGGGTGTCAACAGGGTTGCATCCTTTCTGGAGAAGAATCTATTTCCTTGCCTTCCCCACTTTCCTTGGCTCATGACCTCTTCCTCCACCGTCAAAGCCAACAGCGTGGGGCCAGGTCGGCCTCACGCTGCCATTTCTCTGGTTCTCCCTCCTGCCTCCTCCTTCCACCCTTTCGCTGAGCCCACGCGGGTAATTCAGGATCAGCTCCCTATTTTAAAGTCAGTGTATTAGCAACCTTAATTCCATTTCTGACCATGGTTATGTGTGGAGCCATGTCACCACACATAATCACAGGCTCAGGGGATCCTAGGACATGGACATTTGGGGGAGCTGCTATTCTGCCTACCATAGCAGGAGAGAGTGAAGGGTGGAGGAAGGTCGTGGCTGGGTCTTCTCCCTCTCCACACATACACACTTGTTCTAATAAACAGGCCCTAAGTTAAAGGGGTAGCCTCCTAGTGGGATGTCAGGAGCTCTGGGATGCTGTCCCCAGAGTCTGAACTTACTTCTCTCCCTCAAGTCCATGCTTCTCTCTAAGAGCTCCAGCTTCTAAAAACCTCCAGTGGGCAAATCTCCACCTGCCTTTCAGAAAACCCTACTCCCTACCCACTGATGTAAGTCTTGCCTCTGAATTATATAAGTACGGCCTCCCCGGCAGTACATCTTCAGAAGTCTGAGGTATTGGGACTCGATTAAGACTCCAAGGGCCCCGTCAGGACAACCAAGGGTGCTCTTAGTTCTTCTAGTCCTACAGAATCGTCCAGAGTGAGTGTTCCAAGTCCAGTTCTC